TTCAAGACATTATTATAGCCACTACAGTGACCATCAAAACAATGACAAAATATTGCCGTAAACAGCTTATTTTGCGACACCACGAAACAAAAATAGTGTGTAATGTGAAACGATAGATGTTTTCATATCGTCATCCGATATGTATATCATCATATTGAACAGCCCTAACTGTCTTGCCCCGAACCTTTTAGAGAGCAGAAACTCACTTTGTCCTTCAATTTAAACAATTGGATATTGCCAATTTTATTTTTTGCTGCTGGATGCTGTGAAAAACATCTGGTGCTTGATCAGTGGTGACAGACAGACAAAAGTGTAAGCAGACCTCTTTAAAGAATTATCAAAGTTAGTTAAAAAAACAAAAACATAACTGATAAACACTTACTGGTAATAGCTCAGGTCTCTGTTGGTTCGGGGCACATCTTTATCAATGATTCGAATGGCTTCCTGCAGCTCCTCGCGGTCAAATGTGACCCGCTCAAACAATATCTGTTTATAGGAAAAGTTAGTACAAAGAGGTAGTAGGTAAATGGCAAACCCTTTAACAAATTTAGATCCTGTTGTTTCATTTGAATAAATATACTGCATTTATTTTATTTCCCTCACTTTAAACTGTTCTTATGTTCTACAAAGAAAAACCAAAGGGAACATTTTAAATATAACTTAACAAAAAACAATGCAGAAAAATAGTGAGTTGAGACAAGTATGTGTAAAAGAAGCAAAAAGCCAGACATCAGACAGGTCACAATAATACTCACGGATGTTTAGTTGAACTGACCTGTGCCTGAAGCTCCAAAAAAGCCATTCTAACTCTGACCGCCTCTGACCTGTCCTGAGATTGTTGCTGGGTCTGTGCCTGTCTCTGGTCAAAGTACCTGACGGCTGCCAGCAACTCGGCTTGATCACATATAAGATATTTAGGGAAAAGAGTGAGAAATCAGGGCAGTTAAAAACAAACAACAATAGAAAAAAAATTTGAAAAAGAAGGAATCTACGTGGCTTTTAATTGACAGCCGTACAACTTACCATCAGTACCATTGAGGTGCATTCGCATGGCTGAGGGGAGGAAGTGCTGCCATTTTCTCTTCATCACCTGATAACGTACGACCAACTGGTCCTGCAGCAACGAGCGCTCTAAAGCTGTTGAACCACACGGGTACATCCCGAACAAAAACCGCCACGCGAGGCCACGCTCAGATGGACACACCCCACCTGGACAGAGAGTGCAGACCTTTCGATCATTGTCAGTGGACAATTGTGCTTGAAGATAAAACATTACATGACCTCCTAACATTTAATTAAACCAGTCACCACTGGTCTGAAAGAGAGCATGGGAAGATCAAACCTGAAAGAAACAAATTTTAGATGTAAATCAAAGAGCAACACGACTGCAAATACATATTTTAGTGAGCTTGAGCCTGCTGAGACAAATATTTAAGAGGCCATTTGTAACGTCTTATTTTGGAGGTTATTTAGTCTCTGGTGGAGTTCAACATCCTCCATAAAGAGGACAGATTCAGCAGGATTGCTGGAGTGCTGATAAGTTCTGGCATGAGATGACAGTCTTCTTGCATTTAAAACACTAAAAAATACAGCTAGAACACAGACGTATTCTCTCCGTCTTTGCTTCTTCTAGTTCACAGCATATGTTTATGGAGCCATTGACACTCATGTGATCTCACTCCTAGAAATCCTACCAACCCTAAAAATGGAGCCGCTTTATCACAGTAGTCACGTTGGACTTCTTTGCTCCAGGGGGTCTGGTGAACAGTGAAATGTTGGGACTTTACAGAAGCGTCTGATTGTGCTTTTCCCCAGAGGCAAAGCGTCACCTGATTTAATCTTTAGGAATGAAAACCCATTTTAAAAAAAAAAAATCGTGTTAAATATTTTACCGTACACCAAAACAGTGCTAAAATGGACACATGTATATTTTGTCAAAACATTATAGCCCATTTTTATTTTTCCAAAGAGTAAAATTAAATTTCTCTAAAAACACACATTGAGCGAATGCAGTCACGCCTTTTATCAGCAGGTGCGGTGCATTCAGGTTTGTTCAGAACAACCCGAGGCCCCAGGAGCAGTCGGTGTGAGAAACTACAGCTTTAAATCCATCTGCTTCATGGACTGCGCTTATTGCCAGCCCCTGTCCTGTTATACTGTATCAATACAGAAAACGCAATTATCTCTCAAACTTATAATTAACTAGATGAGAAAAGAGTTTGCCCCTTCTAAACGTGGATAATTAGATATTTAAAGATTTCTGCTTGGCCTTCCGTACTCACTAAAGTATTAAAACGGAAGTGCGGACAAGCAGTCTTACGTCATGTCTCCTGCAAAACTTCACGAATCAAGTTTACATTAAAAACTACTTGCAAGTAAGTTGTGCGTTTTAGAAACCGTTTTTGAAGATATGCATCCTCAGTCTTGACTCGTCGACCCTCCCCTCGGCGTCCATGACTCTGGGTAAAGTGAGGCGCGCTACAGCCAGAGCAGGAGAGCTGATCGCTGCTACTCTCCTCTGAGAACCTCCATCCAGCTGGGGGCTGCTGGCTGTCAACCGTTCCTCTGCGGTCTGCCTTAGATTTCCTGTGTTTAGATCTTCCATGTGTGGCTGCGGGTTTGAATCACGCAGGGGTGAAGTTTGTCATTCGCGCTGCATCCACATAACAGGCAACATAATCATCCTCCTATGGCCCACTGCTTCCTAAACAACACAGCTTGTCTCCCTCCGTGAGCTACAACTGAAATCATTCAAGACTCATTTCCAGCAGCGTGGTCGAGTCGTTTTAACTTTGCTAAACCCGTCGTAATGACTTTCAGGAAACAATATCCAGCGAACATAACTCTCATTCAGCCATCTGGGAGTCATATGACTGCACCTTTAAGATCCCAGTTTGCCCCACATTCCAGGTGGAGTCCAAACCCATGTGCTAAAGTTCACAGTGGACTTGTGTGTATATCTTGCTCCATCTAGTGGTTGTATTTAGCAAATGTCCCCCAGAAGAGGGATTTCGCTAACTGGCTTATCTGAGTATTTCCCAAACCGTTGACCACTGGGGCTTTCACGCAAAACCATCTCTAAGGTTTGCAGAGAATGGCCTGGGTAAAAAAAAGAAAATATCCAGTGAGTAGCAGTTCATATCAGCTATTTCTTCGAAGTGATAGGAAGGAACTCCAATAATCACTACAGCCAAGGGACACAGACAAGCATCTCCGGACACCCAAGCACATGAACTGCAGCAGCAGAAGACCAAATTTTTCATTACAATAGAAAACTCTAAAAATGTCTGGTCAGAATTTGGAGAAAACAACATAAAAGCATGAATCCATCGTGTCTTGTATAAGTAGTTCAGGCTGCTGCTGGTAACAAAATGGCGGAAATATTTTATAACATTAAAAAAAAAAACAATTTATGATTATTTAGATTTGAAAGCTAACTTGAATATTGATGCAGGCCATTTTATCCCCCTGTGACCACAGTGTATCCATCTTGACTGCTACCAGCAGGTTAGCATACCATGTCAAAGAGCTCTAATCATATCATAACTGGTTTCTTAAACATGACAAGTTAATTCATATGAATTCATTGTTATGTTTAATGACCCCTGCAGTCACCAGATCTCAATTTAATAGAGCACTTTTGGGAGGTGGTCGGCTGGGAGAGTCTCATCATGGATGTCTAGCTGACAAATCTGCAGCAACTGCGTGATGATGCAACTTGCGCATCTTGCTGAATCTATACCATGACGAATTAAAGCAGTTCTGGAGGCAAAAAGAGGTCCAACTCAGTATCAGCAAAGTGAACCTAATAAAGTGGCCAGTGAATGTTGCTACCACATATATTTTGTGCATAATCAAGCCACTCCACACACCAAATAGTACCCAGCTTATGGTAAGAAAGCTGCCACTCTCTCCAAAAGTTGATTCTTTTCCTCTGGACGTAGCGTCTTCAGTGGGAGAAATGTTTCGTCACCCATGCAAGTGACTTCTTCAGTCTTACCTGACTGCAGGTTTCCCCAATCTTATAAACAGTATATTTGCATAATGACTGAAACCAGCCCACTGAAGAAAAAATGGGCTGGGGGTTCAGTTCCTTCAACATAATTATGGAAATTCTAATGACCATTGATAAACAACCACTGACCAAAACCCACTGATTAATGGCCATGAGTACCTCGCTCAAACCAGCGTTCCACCCTGTCCAGGATGTTACATCCTCATCACTGAAACAGTGTCCACTGGCCTGTAGGTGTAAATAGACTGTAGTCCTGGCCTGACGAGGACTGCAGTCTAGATGCAGTCTACTACCACTCATTCACAAGGGGTCACCAGAGTAGGTGGGTCCATATATTTGATTTGACCTCTACGCTGTGCAATTTTTGACATCAATACAAATATTTGTCTAGCTATAATTACTTCTTGTTACAAAAAATATCACATTACAAATTCACAGAATCTCTTCTGTGTGATAAGGAAAAACACAAACCAGGTCTAATCCAACTTGCAACTCAAGTCTTTTTTTTCCAATAACATAATATCATCTATCCTTTGTTCACGTGCCATATAGTCAGGTGTAAAGCTCAATCCTCCTCAATTAATAGAAATTATAGTCTGGTTTAATATTTTTGACAGAGTGGAAGGGCAACTGTAAATGCACTAGACTACACTGTTGGGTTAGAAATGACAGTTTTGCAAACACCTCTCTGCTGTTGTGACACTGACCTGCTGTGTTCTTCACAAATGTTAATCAGAGAGAAAAAAAAGGGAGGAGTTCAGCAAAGTGCGACTTTTACACTTTGGTTAATATGTAAAAATTAAATGATATAAGAGAAGGAAGAGAGTGTTTCTGATATACAGTATATGTGCTTAAAATTTGATCGCAAAGTTGAACATAGGTTTTGTGGGGACGGCGTTCACTTTTCTTTCCCAACTTCCTTTTTTTTTTCTTTTTTCAAGTGATCATTAGAGTGCAACAGGAAACAGACCCATGTCATTTCACATCAGTGCAGAGATCTAATACATACTGAGAAAGCACAAAGGAACATCATTTTCTTACACCTCCCTCCTCTCACAGTGAGTATTTACTATGTGCTAAATAGTAGACTATAGGCAATTTGCTGTACAGTATGTTGGCTACATGTGATGAAAATTCTGTAAAACTGAATCGGGATTTTGTCTACTAACCTGTGACTGTCTTGCTTTGGCTAGATGCAGCTGCCAGGCCTTATTGGTTTCATTTCAGTATTGATTCTGGCTTGTAATTCAAAAGGTGAGTGAGATAATAAGCTCATGTGTATGATTTAAATTGGAAATGCACTTTCAGTATGTAGTAAATATGGTACTTGGAGCACTTTATATGCTTCTCATTTACACAGATTCATATACTAATGATGGTGAAGCTGTCATATAATGTGCTTTTCTAATGCTGGCCTTGCTTTTGTAATAAATGATTTGTTCTACAATGTAAATTATAGCTTTAAAATTAGCCTTTGAAAAATAAATGCAATTCCTGACTTGCTTTGTTTTTATTTGCAGATACAAAATGGAAAATAAAGGTCGAAGGAAACATCCCAGCACAATCTGGATCAACCGTTACCATACAATGCAACTTTAGCTATCCAAAGGAAATCACCACTAATAATGTTACAGTTTTTTGGAAAATGTCATCAGTAGATGACAAAAGTAACTGCAGTGATGGGGAAAAAAACAGGAAGGCATTTGTTTTTAACCCAAATAATGACTGTGTGCTTAAGAAGTACAGAGGAAAGACTAAGCTCATTGGAGACCCGAACAAGGGCAACTGTTCTCTCCAGATCACCGACATCACAGATATTGAGCAAGCGATTTATGTAAGAATTGATGTGCAGGAAGATAAATACAGTTTCATCAAGCACCCTGTCCGTGTCTCATTTTCCATAAATGGTCAGAATTTAAATTAATTATTTTAAAAATTTAATTTAAACTATGCATTTATCAAAAAAAATGAAATTAATAGCTTGCATGTTTCCTCCACAGGGACGGGGGCTTCTAATCCAGGTATTAACTTCATTTCTGCATTATTTATATTTAAATTGAACAGAGCCTTTTTAAAAATTTGCCATCATGCTGTGGAATATTTTTTCAACAGGTACCGATTCCTCTACGACTCAAAACCTTTTACCCACTAAAGCAACAATAAATAAGTTTAATATTCACATGGTTTGTTGAGTATGTCACACTCTGTACTTCAGCTTTCTTTACTGAACGTATTATTTTTTGCAGCAAAAGCAAATGAAAACGACACGAGCCATGCAACAATACTGTCTGTAGCCATCCCTGTAGCAGTTCTTGTGGTGATCATTCTTCTTGTTGCTGGGATATTTATTTTTATAAAATACAAGAGGTAACTTTTTCATCATTTGTAAACCGAATGTGTGGCCTACAAGCAGCAAACTTGAATGAGCTTTATTTCCCAGATTGATATACTTGATGTACATAGTTTATCATCTGGATACTTTTCAGGCAAATGTGTGGTATGTAAAGCAAAGCATTTATGTAATCAAAAGACATTTAAATGTGGAAATTTAACTTTCTGTGAAGCATATGTACAGTACAAGAGAGAAATAATCCAAAGCAGATTATATTCATTTATCATAAACATACCAGAGTGCTTCGAATGTTAACTTTATTGTTTAAATTTTAGTTATCATGTACAAACAACCGCAATAACAGTAATCATAATTGTCCCAGGTCACGCAGTCTCACCAGGGAGGACTCTGGATACTATGCAAACTTTAGCAGAGCACTATCAAACCCACCCAAAAGGTTTGCATTAATGGAAAAAGTATACCACACATGTGTACCCATCTAAGAAGCTTGACATTTCTTTTATTTTTAATTGAATGTGTCATTATGATGAATCCAAAAGTAATTATTGTAATTTGGTTTTGTACCATTTGATACATTTGTGTTATCAGGATATAATTATGCATTTATTTGATGCACAGTGATAAGATTCTGATGACCTTTTCCCTAACCTGGCATTTTTGATTTCTTGCTCTCTTTCTTTTTTTGTTCTTTTTAGAGAAGTCAGTTGTGACAAACAAACTAAGAAGCTGCCTGAAGGGAAAGCTATTGATGATCCTGTTTACATCAATGTCAAGGTACAATGCCCACACTGACACAAGTTTTACTGTCCCAAGAAGTTAACAGCAAAGATAAAAATGACTAAAGCCAACTTTTATGTAACCTCTTGTCTCTGCAGGCTCCAACAAATCACTTGGCTCCAAACAGCAGTTGTGCAGACAATATATATGCAAATGTGGATTACAGAACTTAGAAGGAAAGCTGCATGTCATTAGTGTACGATGCTTTCTACACATGTTCATGTGTATGTATTACTATGTGCCTCTATACATTTCAGGCAGGTCTTAATATTTTTTGTCTTTTTTGAGAGTGTTCACATATGCCCAAAAAAACCCTGACTAGTCGCTGTGGGTTCAACTGAAGGGTGAAAACACTCTAAATGACAAAAAAAAAAAAAGCCTGCACAGCATTGCAAAACAATGATAATTCCCTTTTTGCGTACTTGTGATTGCAGACCTTCAGATGGTCAGACAAGAATGTTGTTTCAAAACATGAATTTATGTAAAAATGATATAGCATAAAATCAGAAGTGAGATGTCAGTGTTAGAGATGGGGAACAGTAAGCACACAGTAACAATAATCTTTCTCCAACCCTAACAACATTACTTTTGTCAGAAAAAGTCTTCTCCTAGCCTTACTTGTGGCATATTGTGTAATTGGAGAATACAAACCTGTTAGGATTGAAAATTAGGAAGGATTTCATTTTTTTGTCAAATGCTTTGGGGTTTTTTTTTTTTTTTTAAGAAATCTGCCATTGCAATGTTCTTGCCCAGTTTGCCTAATACAGGCAATATATGCTGGTGAGCATAACAATACTGTAACCAATACTGATGACAGTAACTTTGCCAAATAGTCTGTAGCAATAAATAAAAACAGCAACTTTATTAATATACTTGATCTTATGCAGTTCTTTTTTTTTTTTTTTTTTTGCTTTACATCAGTGTCTTTGACCTTGGTAAATAAACCTGCCAGTGTTACACCACCAAGTAACTAAGGAAATGAAATCAAGCATCAGTTTTGCAACTTTGCGGCAATATCGCTTGAGTGGAGTTCTCTTTTCGTTGGAACTTTGGAACCCATTTTAACTAAACTAGTTAAAATACAGAAGTGAAGGGTGAAAATTACATTCACTTTGGGTACATCCTGTGTCATGTCTGCTGAAACTTATTTAAAGGGTTGAAAAAGATGGATGGACTGCAGTTTTAAAGAGAATTAGCGAAAATGTGTAGAGGCTATTTGTAATTTAAACTGAGTGAAACTGTAACTGGTGCTAATACCTTTTACTTTCTGTTTTAACTTTGATGGGAAATGCTTACTGAGAGGCAGAAGTCCTGGAACGTTGCAATACTTAAGAAGTGTAGTGAAAACTCTGTTATGTACATGCACTGACTATTCAGATAAATTGAAGAATATACAGTCATGACGGAGTGTACATTATTTTAGTATCACTGAAAGTATTGGCTGCATACATTTAATTGCATTTAGGAGCGAAATGTAATGTTTGGATGTTCTTGGACTCAAAACCAAGTTCAAGACAAACAACACGTGTCCTTGTATCAACTTTTAGCCAGTTCAAGGGGCATTAAAAATGAAGCACTGATTGATGTTCAAATAATTCAAGGTAATCTTGCCACAAGCAGAAGTAAGATCTCATCATTAAAACAAATCAAGTCCATTCACTGATATTTTCACGTAAACCAGCATTGAAAGTAAATACAAGGAGGCTGAAAAGATTGTGCTGACGACTCAATGTTCTCGACCTTGGCTGTATCAGTGCCCTGATTACTGGCACTGGCTTATCATCATAGCTGGGAATCTGTTTTCTTCCCACAGCTTGTCTTTTAGGCTGTTTTCATGCACTAAACTAAAGAAATGTACAGGTCAATATTATCTTCAAATGTAGAAAAGTGAGTTACATTCATTATTTACACATTTACTTTATAAACACTAACAAGAAAACGGTGTCCAGAGAAACATACTTAATTGGCCATCAATGAAAAATACGTACAATAAAGAACATTCTACATCTTCTATGTGAGGGTAGAATGTTGTGTTATGTTATGTAGAATGTTGACTTAAAAATGTAACACAATGCATACAACAAAGGAAGCTAGGACAAGAAACACTTACTTCCTCTGATTTAAATGTGGTAAATGTATCTTTTCTAGTACCACATTTAGATGTGGTAACATTATAAATGAACAGTTCATTACATCATTATGCAGCTTTTAGTTTTAAAAAGGCCTGCAGTAACATCGCATGAGAGCCTTTTTTTAAACAACATGTGTTTGTATACACATCTTCATCTACAGTTTCATGAAACTGTAGCTTTTGTGCACTCCTGGGTCACAGCGTTCTCTGAAATGTTCATTTGCTTGCAAAAAGACTAACCAAAATGTAACAAGTTAAATGCCAGACTGCTGGCTACATTTTGCAACTTTCTTGGTATCAAAAGCATCTGCTGGTAAACACATAGTATGAGCAACCAAAAAACAAAAATGCTGCTCATGCATACAACAGTTTTTGAGCGTAAAAATAGACTATAAATATGGCATCCAAATCTCACACGACTCCAAATCTCAAAAGGACTACAAGTTCAGTCAGTGATTAAAACAGATTCAGAGGTGAGTGAATAATTGAAATATTTGCAAAAAGTACAGCAGTGGAAATCTGCCTTTAATACACCGCTGTGTATTTTTTTCTCACTCCTTTATGCTTTTTAACTCTTTTATTTTCAGGTCCTAATCAGTGATGGCACTAAAGTTGTGCCTTTCATTTCTGATGTTTTGTGGTGAGTGTCTAACTTTAATGTGGTGGAACCGCACACTACCTTCTACATAACATAACATAACAGTATAATTCAGTGCTATCTTTTTTATTAGTGATTCATGATGTCCAGTCAGCCAAAAGTCAGTGGATGGCACTTGTACCATCAACCATTCCAGCTGTGCAGGGCTCCTGTGTGGTTATTCCCTGCACCTATAATTACCCCAGACCTTGCTCCAAAAAGATCATAAACAGCTGGTTAGGATTCTGGAAGAAAGGGAACAAGGTTGTGGCAACCTCTATCCAAAAATGGAAACTGCTGTGGAGTACAAAAAACGAACTCAATTTCTGGGAAAACTGAAAACACGGAATTGCACGATGCTACTGGATAGTGTCTGGAGCACTGATGTTGGACCTTTTGAATGATCAGGTATATGCCACCTGCTCTATTTTTCACTCCTGCCCATCTATTCCTCCTCAATTCTCCTGGAGTCACACTGGAGTCATCAAAAGCCAGTCGAAGAAAGTGAATGCATGGAACTGGCAAACAGTGTCAACTCTGACCTTTCCGCCTTTAGCCACCGATTTCAACAAGCCTTTAAACTGCACAGTGTGACACAGAGGGGGGAAGGAGGCACAAAGCTCCATTATTCTTCTAATACGAGCCCAGTGCATGATCGAAGTATAACTTCTTACTCTACACAGTAAATTAATTCAAGGTTTTAATTTAGCATTTGAGGTATATAGCGTCTTTAAACTACTTAAAGTGAATCTTAAAACAGATAGCTTTGCTATTTGTGAAGCCCAAGGGGTTTTGTGATTGTTTGGTTTAAGTGGACGTCAAAGAGTGTGTCTGCACTAAAAACACATATTTTAGTGTTATCTATGGTGAATGATAAGTGATCAACAGCTTCTCCTTCTTAAAGTTGTATTTCTCCAAATGTTTATGTTAAAATACAGTTTAAAAAAAAATGATACATATATATTCTTAAATAATATTCTTAGAAAGAGGTGTTGTTATGTGACAATGTGAAAATAATAAGGTAGTTATGAAACATATTTTGCAATTCAGAAACTTTGCGTCCACAAGAGTACTGTCAGGGACTAGAAAGAGAGCATATTTTGACATAATCTGTAAAGATCTGTATAGAAATACAAAATTAATTAACTTTTTTCATGTATGATTTAAAGTAAATCAAATGAAAGCAAAATGGCATCAGTATGAATGCCTTGGATCAGACGGTCACGGTCCTGGGTCGGTGACCAAGTGTTTTATGCATTGTTATTTTATGATTTTCTTGTAGTTTGAGATTTCTAGTGTTTAGTGTTCTTTTTGTTCTGTGCCAGTTTGTTTCCTGCTTTACTTTGACAGACGGTGCCCTACGTTAGCGTTTCTAGTTTGGTGTCTCCCTGTCCTTGTTGATGTCAGCTGCGTCTTCCAGGTGTTTTCCCTTTGCCCTGCTTTCCTCTTGTATTTAATGTCTGTGTCTGCTCCTGCTTGTCGTCACATCGTATCCTCATTCTGACCTGTGTAGTTCAGTTTCATGCCCTCATCGTTCTGTTCCATTTCCTAATTTAAGCCTGCAATAAAGCAGTGGATTTTTTAGCTTAAATTCCACCTCCACGAGTCTGCATTTTGGGTCCTTTTTCCTGCCTGCCCGCACACAGCCATGACACAGACCTGTTTCATCCATCCATTCGCTTTCACTAAAACTAAAATACTCAGAAATGCCAAACACAGTTGTTGAGGTCTCTCAGCACCTTTCTCAGATTTCAGAACTGTTCCAGAGTTTTAGATGACTTGATTATGGACATTTATTACAAATCCATCTGAGTTTTCTGACCTTTCCCTCTGGTTCTGGGTAGTTATATGAGCAGAGGATCACAACTAATCAACCCAGGAGAATTTTCACTGAGAATGGCACATCAACTGTCTAAGATGAGCTTTCTGTTTGGGGATCTGTGATAAAGTACACAATGAAATATGATAAAGTGAAGCACAGAAATAAAACAGCCAATAAGACAAGAAGAGTCTAAATGAATGGCAAAATACAGAAAAGCTTAACTAATACTGAAAATATTCTGGACAAGAACTATGAACAGGACAAAAACCGAAAACAGACTGTTTAAGTCTACATCTCATGAGAAGATTACTCCTAAATATATTCACTATCCTTAGCTTTAAAGTAAATTCACATGAGCTCACCCCTTCTGTTCCAGTGCTATTTACAATGAAAACTAATGTACACACTATATACAGAACTCAGACAGTCGAAAAAGTCACAGGCACAAATGTCACAGGTTTTGGAGGCCAGGGTCAGGTCTGCTGCTGCTGTCAGTGGCTGCCCCGGGACAACTGCTGGTGAGGGATTTTGAATGCGACCACATGATCAGCGGACCAATCGGCAGCCGTCAGCTCATCCAATCCGGGGCCTGCAAAGACTTAAAGACACAGACAAAAACAGCCACCAAAACAGATTATGGACAGGGCCATAACATGCATATACACAAAAAACGAATTCAGCCACATTGTGTAAACTTTCCAAAGTTATAGCATGTGACAGGTAAATAAAACACATAGTTTTGCATGAGTATTTTCAAAAATTAAATGTTTTACTCACTCTGAAGCAACGTGTTTGTGTCGTTTCACTGAGAACAGAACAGGAAGTCTGACACAATAAAAGAGGAAGTGCGAAGGTACTCTTCAAAATAAAAGCGCAAAGTAAAGTGGCTTTGCCGGCATTTACAGTGACTTGTATGGTTTACATTCTGCTTTTAATAGTCACTGCATCCACTTTATCACAAACAAAACCTATCTTTTGTCTCATATGCCACAGAGTGAAGATGAATTATTACATTATTTTCAGTATTTTTTCAATTAGCAAATTAGTACTTAAATATTTTTCTGTGAGATCACTATTGTGGCTATTGAGGCTACTTTCAATTTTGGTGAAAAAATGTTTAGATTTTGCTCTTTATTTTTGCCCCAAAAATATTGTGGTAATACATTTATCTCTCATGTTCTGCTCATTTGTTTGTTTGATCCTGCTCAGCAGAAGTAGCTATAGTGGTGACGTGTAAGAAACACACATTGGTGTGATACTGCCATGACTGGATTAACTATAC